TGAAGATTCAGGCACCCTCCACATCAATAAAATTTCTAGGGGTCCAGTGGTGTGGTGTATGTCTAGATATTCGTACTGAAGTGAAGAATAAGCTATTTCATTTACACCCCCCCACCCCCACCTCAAATGACTTAAAAGGTGGCACAATGCCTAGTGGGCCTCTTCGGATTCTGGAGGCAACATATCCCTCACTGGGGTGTTCTACTTCGACATATTTATCAAGTGACATGAAAATCCTGCAGTTTTGAGTGGGGCCCCAAACAAGAAAAGCCTCTTCAACAGCCTCAAGCTACCTTGCAAGCTTCTTTGCCATTGGGACAATATGCTCCAGCTGACCCGATGGTGCTAGAAGTGTCAGTTGTAGATAAAGTTGCAGTGTGGATTCTTTGGCAGACCCCGATTGGTGAATCACACAGTAGACTGTTAGGGTTTTGGAGTAAAGTCCTGCCATCCTCTGCAGACAACAATCCCCCCTTTGAAAAACACCTGTTGGCTTGTTAATGGGTCTTGGTGGATCCTCAACGCCTCACCCTGGGCCACCAAGCCACCATGAGGCCTGAATTACCCATCTTTAACTGGGTATTGTCTGACCAGCAAAGTCATAAAGTTGGATGTGCGCAGCAACACTCCATTGTTAAATGGAAGTGGTATATAGGAGATTGGGCCAATTAGGACCTGAAGGGCTAAGTAAGCTGCATGAAGAAGTGGCCCAAATGCCAACAGCCTCCACTTCTGTCACATTCCCTTCTTTCTCTCAGTCTGAACCTATTGCCTCCTGGGAAGTTCTTACCATACTTTAACTGAAGACCAAAAAAATAATTCTTGGTTTACGGATGACTCTGTGTGGTATGCAGGTGCCACTCATAAGTGGACAGCAGTAGCACTACAGCCCCTTTCTGGGATCTCCCTAAAGGACAGTGGTGAAGGGAAATCTTCCCAATGGGCAGAACATCAAGCATTGCACCTGGCCGTTAAGTTTCAGATGTGAGACTGTGTACTGATTCATGGACTGTGGCTAATGGCTGGATGGTCAGGAAATTGGAAGGAACATGATTGGAAAATTGGTGACCAGAACATTTAGGGAAGAGGTGTGTGGATAGACCTCTCTGAATGGGCCAAGAAAGTAAAGATAATCATGTCTCATGTGAACGCTCACCAAAGGGTTATATCTGAAGAGGAGGACTTTAACAAACAAGTGGATAAGATGACATTCACTGTGGAGGCTGGGCCTCCTCTTTCCTCTGCCACTCCTGTCATTGCCCATTGGGGCACATGCACAAAGTGTACAAGGTAGTAGGGATGGAGGTTATGCATTGGTGCAGCAACCTGGACTTGCACTCAACAAGGCTGACATGGCCAGTGCCACTGTTGAGTGCCCCATTTGCCAACAGCCGAAACCAACATTAAGTCCAAGGTATGGGACAATTCCTTGGGGAGATCAACCGTCAACTTGGTGGCAGGTTGATTCCATAGGACCACTTCCATCATGAAGGGGGCAGCATTTTGTTCTTAATTAAATAGACACCTGCTCTGAATATTGATTTGCCTTTCCTGCTTGCAATGCTTCTGCCAAAACTATCATTCATGGACTTACAGAATGCCTCATCCACCGGCATGACATCCCACATAGCATTGCTTCAGGTCAAGGAACTCACTTCACAGCAAATGCAGTGCGGCAATGGGCCCATGTCCATGGAATCCACTGGTCGTATCATGTTCCTCATCATCCTGAAGCTGCTGGCTTGATAGAACGATGGATTGGGCTCTTAAAGACACAATTATGGTGCCAACGAGGTGGCAACAACTTGTGGGGCTGGGGCAATATTCTCCAGAAAGCTGTATATACTCTAAACCAGAGGCCAATATATGGTGCTGTGTCTCAAATAGCCAGAATTCATGGATCCAGGAAATAAGGGGTGTAAGCTGGAGTTGTACAACTCACTTTTACTCCTAGTGATCCACTTGCAGCATTTTTGCTTCCTGTCCCAGCAACCATATGTGCTTCAGACCTGGAGTTCCTGGTCCTAAAGGATGGAATTCTACCACCTGGAAACACAGCATGGATGTTACTGAACTGGCAGCTCAGAATGCGCCCTGGCCACTTTGGGCTTCTCATGGATCAAAAGGTCAGGAAGGATGTCACTGTACTGAGTGGTGTGAATGATCCTGATTACCAAGGAGAAATTGGACTGGTGCTACATAATTTAGGTAAAGAAGAATATTTCTGGAATCCAGGATATCCCATAGGCCAACTCTTAGTGCTACCATGCGCTGTGATGAAAGTAAATGGTAAATTACAGCAACCCAGTCCTGACAGGACGTCCAATGACACAGACCCTTCAGGGATGAAGGTCTGGGTCACCCAACCAGGCAAAAAACCACAGCCAGCTGAGGTGCTTGCCAAGGGCAAAGGTAACACAGAATGGGTAGTAGAAGAAAGTAGTTCTACCTATCAGTTACGACCATGTGATCAATTGCAAAAGCGAGGTTTGCAATTATCAGTGCATTTCTTTATATGTACTTATTGAATATATTTCCTTTGTTCATGTATGATATATCAGATGCAATTGAACTCAGTGTGTTTTCATTTATATGTATGATAGGTGTTTGATGCTAAGCATAAGTGTGATTTCATTAATGTCCAGACATTATATATGGCTCAAAAATTGTGCACAGGTGCCAAGTTGGCAAGGGGTGGATTGACGTAGTTAGTTTACTGTGCCAACTTGCCCAATAAACACATATGGGATTAACTGAAGGGCGGAGAGATAAATGGCTCACCTTGCTTGTCTCTTGCTCTTTGATCATCACACCAGTGTGCTGCTGCCTTGCTTATTCTGTTCCCCAATCTGCAAGCTACACTACCTGTGGGACACCTAACCCATGGACTGTATTGTTGTAATTTGAGGTTCCTTCAAGAGCTGCTTTGCCACACCATTGGAATTTACATCTCTTGATCTGGGGACTGTTGGATCCAGTCATCTGTCTGACTGTTGTTAACCTGCCTTGCTGTTTGCTGCCTGTGCCCAGATAACCTGAATAGCTGTACAGAGGACTACCTGGCATCCCTCAAGACTTGAAGGACTGTCAGTGTCTCACAACTGTCTCCTGGGAGTGAGTTGCACTGATCCATTTGTACTCTTTTATAATTTAATTAACTGTTTTCTCTTATGTTATCTATCTATCTTTATAAATATATATAAATTTATAAGAATTCTGGTTTTGTTTCTCTAGAGTACCCTGTCTAACACACTGCTAAATAATAATCAAGGAGTCCTGGTGGCATACTGGTGATAGTTATGCATTTGGCTGGTGACCACAAGGTCAGCAGTTCAAAACCACTACTCCTCTGAAGAAGAAAAATGATGTCATTTACTCCTGTAAACAGTTACAGTCTTAGAAACCCAAGGGACATTTCTACCCTGGCCTACTATGGGATCACTAAGATTTGGAATCAACTTGAAGGCAATGAATCTGGTTTCTGGTTCCATGATAATCAATAACTACATGCAATGC